ATATTCCCTGCCTCTGGGGGAACCCAGGGCTGGATGCCCAGATGCTCCAGACTTGCAAATCTGGCAAAGTCTTAGGAAGGGGAAACTGAAGTAGCATGAGATGCTTTGGAAGCATCACTAGGCAAGTGTGGGAAGATGCTCCTTCAAGTGTCCAGGATGGAGCAGCTCATGCCAGTGCCAGCTCACAGCTGTAGGATGCAGCATGCAGGGCTGGTGCAGAGCAGGGATTATTATCCAGGTTAGGACACAAAGGCTTTCAGGAAGGGGTCCGTGAGTCTACCAGTGGGCACAGGGCAAGCAGAGACAAGTATCTGGGTGGTAAACACAGAGGGAATCACTGCATACAGTGCTGCTGGCACATATGAGCGGCACTGGCACCCCTGATGGACCAGGCTGGCTGCCAGGAACATGGTCCTTGGCTGCTTAGGAGTGAAGGGGCAGAGATGTCTGGAGCCCTTGATGGCACCCATCAACCCCCAGTCTCAGCTCAAGGGCTTCTGGTCAGGGGGCAGCTGAGGACATTGGCACAACAGGGACGTCAGCAGGAGGAATTCTCCATGGGATGGAGGAAGGGATGAACGCACACCTGCAGCACAGCTAGCTGGGCTCACAGCCTGGGGACCTCAGGCAGGATGCTCAATGGAGGCCATTCTTCTACCTCCCCCGCTGCTGCCGGCTTGTGCTACCCAGCGAAGGAGCTGCCATGGGTGCCAGAGTCAGGGTGCCAAGCTGCCAGGCCAGGAGCAGTATGTGGAACTGTCCTGGGGGACAGGGTGAGCTGGGAGCTCATCTGCCAGCAGCCTCTGCCATGTCACCCTGCCCTAGCCCAGAGGTGCCCAGTCCCCTCTGACATGCACACAGCACCAACCACCAAGGGCTGGATTCAACCTTCCAAGCCCACACCAGAGGCCTCAGATTCTGTCTCCACAGCAGCCCTAAGAATCCTGAAGTCCCACAAACTCCCAGGAGGGGAGAGCCCTCTTTAATCTCAGGAGGTAAACTGAGGCACAAAGTAGCTCCGGACAACATCAGGATGTCTCCTTAATGTTGAGCAGCAATCTCCAGTCCTCTCCTTGCTCACTCCTGCCCCTGATTTGGGACTGCTCCTATCTTGGTGCCTGTCACCACGCTCTGTCCCAGGGTCCTGGTGGGATATAGCTATCCCTTCCCACCCAGCAGCCACTGGAGTTAGACCAGCATCCTTCACTCCCTCCTGCTCACCAAGCCACCAGCCAGCATTTGGGGTGGTGACAGGAAAGACTATGGCTCGGTTTGGTCACAGAGTGTCTCTCCTGCAGTGATCCCCAAATCCACCACTGATTATCCCCCTTGCCTCATGCTATCCCCATGTTGGGGCTCCAAAGATAGCATGGAGCTGGTTTGCTCAGATTTCCCTCCTCCCCTCGTGCTGGGACCAGGGGATGCCAAAGGTCCAGCAGCAGTCTAGCCTCCTCCCCAGAGCCTCCAGTGGCATGGAGGGTTCAGCCCTGTGCCCTCCACGGCACATTCCTGAGGGATGCATCTCTCCCCATCCCTGCATCCCTTAACTACAGCCTCTCCAAGCAGCCAAACAAAATTCCTGCTGCTCCCTCCTGGCTAGAGCTGTCTCCCCCTTCCCCACGGGAAGAGGATCCATGACAGTGACCAGCACGTGCTGATGGGGACAAGGATGCTACATGGTGTGTTCCCAGGCTGCCAGGCCTGGGACACCCATCCCACTGCCCCCAGGTATCCCAGCAGCTCTGGCACTGGGGGCCCCCCACTCCCTGCCAGCCCTGGCTCTCCTTCAAAGTCATTCCTTAGCTAAGAGGAGTTGGCAAAAGCCACAGGACCAGCTGGAAACTGCCTTTATTCCAGGCGAGAGAAGGAGGATGAAGGCGCCCCACCACCTCTGCCCTTCCCAAAAAAGCTGCCGATGATTTTGGGGGGAGGTTGAAAATACTCCCCTGGATTTGATCAAGGAGGAGACCCCCCAGCGACACCACATCCCATCGGGGCTGGCTCCAGCACAGGAGCTCGATAGTGGATAGAAATGTGAGGCTGATTCTCTGGGGCATGTCCAGGTCCCCGGGAGAGGGGTGCTGTGCTGGTCCCGGTGGGAAAGAAGGATGCCCTAGCCCCGGGGAAGTATGCCTTGATTCCCAGGAGGGGCAGGTGGGGATGCCCTGGCCCTAGAAATAAGGAAACAGGCCGCCCTGGCTTCGGGGTGGTGGGCGATATGTCCTGGCCCCGGGGGGCACTTGGAGCTTTAAAGAAGCCCTCCATAAAGTACGCTAGGGAGATGCAAACGGCCCCTCCTCCGAGGGTCCCAAACATCCCGTTTAGGATGAGCAGCGTACTCTCGGGGTGAAAGGGTGGGCCCTAAAAACCAGAAGCCCAAGGGAGGCACAAGCATCAAGGGAGTAGAACCTATTAGTGCGGAGGTGTTCCCAGGCGGGATGCGGGGAATGTCCCCGGGTGGGATGCACAGTCCGACCCCCCGTCCACACGCCTCGGCCTCGCTCACCTCCTCCAGAGCTCCCACGGCCCCGCGGCACTTCTGCATCTTGGAGGCAAAGGCGGCGGCCGAGGAACTGAGGTCCTCGCTGGCAACGGCCAAGAAGTCGGCCACACTGAGCTGCTCGGGCATGGTGCGGGGGGCACCGGAGCACCGGGCGGCGGCAGGGGGAGCGGGGAGCGCCTCCCCTGCGGAGCCCCAGGGTGCCGGCTCAGCCCGGCCCAGCGCCCCGCGCCCCGCACCGGGAGCGCCGCACCGGGAGCCCCGCACCGCACCGCACCGCACCGGGCGCCGCTCCGAGCCGCCCTCCGCCGCTCCCGCCCCTCCGCCGTCACGCGGCGGCCCCGCCCGTCCGCACGTTAAAGGCGAAGAGCCGCAGTGGTCCCCAGGAGCTACTGCCGTGACCCCCATCCCGGGCCGTAGTGGGTGCCCGGTTCCCCCGTGCTGTGGTGGGATCCGCACCCCCAGCCTTGCCTTGGCAGCCACCTTTCCCAGGCACCCAGCAGCTCCCTAACCCAAATACCCACCTTTCCCAGGCACCAGCACCCCCCTAACGCAAATAACCCCCGTTCCGAGGCACCCAGCTGCTCCCTAACCCAAATACCCACCTTTCCCAGGCACCAGCACCCCCCTAACGCCGATAACCCCCATTCCGAGGCACCCAGCAGCCACCTAACCTAAGCACCCAGGGATCCCAGCAGCCATCTCCGCCCGGAACCCACCTCACCTCAGCACTCCCGTACTCACCTCTCCCAGGGACCCCGGCAACCACCTCTCCCCATCTTGACAGGAGATGGAGACACGCACAGTGGCAGTTTAGGATTATGCCCAGTCCACTCCAAACACCGGTTTAACTGGAGGTCACCCCCACCTTGCCCTCCTTAGGACCCCGAGGGGACAGTCCTTGGACAGGGGATAACTACTGAAGCATTTGGCTTTTTGTCCTGCTGGAGGCGACCTCTTTGTTCCCTCTCCTGTCCCCTCATTCGGTCCACCTCTCAATGGAATTTGGTGTCCCATTCCTGTTTATTTGCTCTTCACTGAGGATGGGGAAGCCAGGACACCTCAGGAGCAGGCAATTAGGTTGGACAGACACAGAGCAAATCCGACTGCAGGGCTGGGGTTGGTGACAAACTGGAACAGAAAGGGGCAAAAAGCCTCACTGGGGCTGGTTTGCCATTCAAGAGGCCAACATGGGTGCAATGGGGCTTTGCAGACCCCTCCCCATGCCCCTTGCACCGCTCATCCACCGTGGATCAGACTCTCGACCCTTTTACTGAGCCAGGAGTGGGGCTCAGTAAAACTCAAGTCTGTGCCTAACCAGGGCCAGCCCAAGCCCTCCTCTAACACGCTGTTACTGAGGTGCTGAGAGGGACTGGGGTACAGGAAGGGCCATCACAAGCCTTGGGTGAACGGTTGAAGGGTTGAAGGGTTCCACCCCTCTGGCGCCGGCAAGTAGGCGAGCACAGGGTTTGGACTGTCCTCCCCCCGTTTGGGGGGACCCAGCATCTGCCGAGCTCCCAAGACATCTCCCTCGGCAGGGCTCCGGCAGACAGAGGGTTAAAAGGCTGCAGCCCAGGCAGGAGTGGAGCAGGAGGGATTTGGGATAAGAGCCTCTCCCAGGCAGGCAGCCCCGTGCCCCCTCCGCTGCCCCGGGGGTGCCTCCGGCCCCTTGGCCGGTGTGGCCCCGCCATCTCCTGGCTGGCCCGGGCACTGCGCGGCCGGGGGGGGACAAATCGCACAGGGAAATCCCGCTACGGGCTGTAGGACACCCGTCCCCGTGCGGGATGTGGACTCTGTGCCCCTCGCCCACTCACCTGGCCCGGGCCTCTCCTCCTCCTCCTCCTCCTCCTCCACATCACCAGATTATGCAATGCCGATATGTGCCATGATCCCAGGTTTGAGACATCACCAGGTACCACCAGACATCACTGGGTACCACCAGGTATCATTTGGTACCAGTGAACATCAGGTACCACCAGCCATCACTGGGTACCACCAGATATCACTCGGGTACCACTGCCCACCACCACATGCCACAGGACATCCACTGGTACCACTGACCATCACTTTGCCACCAGCACTGCTGGCATCCCCAGTCATGTGTGACACATGGGGAAGGACCTTACAGGATCTTCCTCTGCAGCCCCCAAATTGGGGTGCACAAGCCCAAGCCCATCCAGCCCCAAGACCCATAGGGAGCTGGCCCCCAGCCCTGGCTTTTCCCACATTCCTGGTTAGAGAGGCTCTAGCTCAGGCAAAAGCTCATCCCAGGCAGATTTGGACTGGAAATCACCAATCTGAGCAGGTCAGACCCATTCTTCTCACTCCAGTCAAAGCTTCATCTCAAACACCTTCTCCACAAGTGCCTACAGAGCAGGCTGGCCAGTTTAAAAGCCCCTAAACAGGCCATGGAAACAATAGCAAAACCAGCTCAGCTCCTGTCTCCACCCAAACCATTCCTACATTTTGCTGCTTAGAGAAAAATAGCCCTTTAAAACTCCAAAATTTTATTTTATTTCAACCCCTCATGGGCAAAAAACATCAAGTGCCACAAGTTTTTCCAGGCCAAAATATATTCTCACCCACACTGTCTCTTGAGCCAACCTACAGGAGCACCAACAACGCAAGGAAGGACAACTTAAATACACCCACAGACAAATCCAACCCCTCCCAGCCCTGACAGCCCCACACCAAAGGGGAAACCCGGATAAATACACTGCAAAAATTACAGATATTTAACAAAGAATGGCACAATTAAAAGCCCTATCCTACCCCATGTCCCAGGGCTTATCCTAAGCTGTTTCCCAAGCTCCTCTCTGCAGGTCATTGCCTCCCCCAGGAATACCTCTTCCCAGTACATTCCAGTTTTGATACTGCCAGCACCAGTAACTCCAAGAGGCTGGAGGGAGCTGGTGTGGACTGGGGCAGAGGGGCTGCAGCCCCTCAGGGAATATGGCTCCATGTCCTGGCCAGAGATTTGCCGGAGCCACGTGAGCTTCAGTCTTCCCTCACCCAAAGGTAACTTCAGCTTTGCTGCCCCAATGGTATTTTAAGGATATTCCAGCCATGGTGGGGAAAATGCCACTGGAAATGACCTGTTGTGACCATGAAGAACCGGTTTAACTGAGGAGCAACTGGAGTGACCCCAAACCATGACACAGCACATTCTGGGCAGAAGTTTCTCTGCCACCCAAGGGCACCCCTAACTCATGCGGGGCACCCAAAGGCACCCCCAGTACACCAGCATCCCCAGAGTGGTGGGGGGTTATGGTGGGAAGTGTCGGTGCCCCATGGATTTATTGGGGAATGCTGGAACAGGCCTGGATGGATCACAGGGCACTCTCAGAGCCCAGTGAGGTGACAACCAACCCAGGACAGTGCAGAGAAGCCACACAGAGTGAGCAACACAAGGCCTCCCCTCGCCCCCATCCTCAGAAAACCCTGCTCCCCAACATACCGTCTCTCTAGTCACCCCACAGAGATCCCACATGCTCAGGACACAAGTGGCCAGAGGGAACAAAGGCAATGGGGACTGGGGGGACACTCAGTGCTTCAGCAGGTCTCCCAGGTCGTATGTCTCAAAGAGGTCTGTGACACCCTCACCCTCAAGTGCCCAGAGATAATCATCCTGTTCCAAGGGGGGCGAGAAGGTAACGAAAGGTCCCAAGTCCAGGTGGGAAGGGGTGCAGGGCAGCTGGTCCTCTGTCTGCTGCAGAAGGTGGGCAGGGGAGCCCAGGAGCCCAGGCTCCATCTCCAGCAGTGAGCTGGGTCCCCCCTGAATGGGGAGAGGCAGAGATAGGGGTGAGAGAGGAGTTCCTGTGCCCCCCCAGCTCTGGGAGAGGGGGTGGGGTGGCTGTGTGGCTGATGGGGAGCTGTTCATCAGGCAAAGGGGTATGGAGTGGTCCTGTGGGGAGGTAGCAGCAGAGGGAACAGGGTGGTCCTTGGTGGGGCTTTCTTCCGTGATCTCCTCTGGGCAGAGGTATACCTCGATGGGGCCATTGGTGCTCTTCAGGTAAAGCTGGAAGTTCTCCTGGGAGGGCAGAGTAAGGCTCAGAAGGGGCACCCAGAAGGTCACCCATACCCACTCCACTAGCCCCAATCCATGAGGGATCCAGTTGGGACATTGCAACCCTTGAAGGACCAGCTCAGGGTCCAACAGCCCCATGGAGACACCCCAAAACCACCCAGGGTCATGCTGAGCTGTGTCCTTGGGACGCTCCAGAGGGACCCATCGAGTGTGGCATGGATCCAGCAGCACCCACACACACCTGGCTGAAGTCTGGCACCTCCAGCTGTGTCTCAGGGGGAGCCTTCACAGCAATCATTGTCTGCTCCTGGAAGCTGCTGATGGCACGAAGGTCCTGGTAGGTGACATATGCCAGCGTGGACAGGGATGAGGTATAGGAAAAGGAGGGGCTGCAAGCAGGACATAACCCTCACATCCCTCCAAACACCCCCCAAGCCCAGGGGAATCCAACTGGAGAAGAAGGGGCTCAGAGAGATGCCCACCAAGACCCTGCCCTCCCTCCCATCTCCCTCAGCAAGGATATCTCTGGTTGGTCTCATTGTCAGCCAGCTGCTGGATCTGCAGGGCACAGTCCTGCATGAGCTGGTCCAGCATCCTCTCTGTCCTAGCCAGCTCAGCCAGTTCCCCACGCAGCACTTGTTGCTTCACCACCGTTGCTACATCCTCAAAGATCCCCGTCCCCCTGCCAATGAAGAGGGCATCTGAGTGATGGCACAGTACAGCTACATGTCCCCAGGCCACGTGTCTCCCACCCTGCCCCATCCCTGTGTCCCGTCACTTACATCCACTGGATGTGGTTCTTGGATTTCTTGCGGATGAGCTGGATGCCTTCCAGCACGTTGGTGATGTCGTAGATGCGACGTTTCTGGACCTCCAGCACCTCAGCAGCCTGGTTCAGATCCACAACACCCTCAGGAGACTCATTCAGCAAACGGATGAATTTTTTGGTGAGCAGCCCGAGCGAGGTGTCGTAGCGAGTCTTCTCCCCAGGAGATCTGGGGGCTGTGGGGAAACAAGAGACCCCCCCCACCCCATCCTCTCCTTAATTTGGGATGTGGGATGGAGGCGACGTGGGGCTAGACATGAGACACCATGTTTTCTTTTCTTTAGTGTCGGATCTGGAACAGAGTTTACATAGGGTTGGAGACAAGAGATCTCCCCACCCTCTCCTTAGCCAGGTCCATGGGACAGAGGTATCACTGGAATGGACTTGAGAGACCCTCCCCATCCTCTCCTTCGTGTGGGATATGGGCTGGAGGTGACATGAGGTAGTGCTAGAGGGGACATGGTTCTAAGAGGGAAGAGAAGTGGGGTCTGCTCCCCCCAGCTTCCCCTGCCCCATCTTACCCCACATCACTTACTCCTGGGGCTGGGAACCTGTCCCAGTGTCCAGCCCTTCCCCTTGGGCGTGCGAAATTCAGGGCCCTCCAGGTCCAGCTTCCTCTTGGCCTGGAGCACGAGAGAAAACCCTGCATTGTGGCCAAGCCAGACATCCCTCTGAGTTCCCCAGATCCCCCCTGAGCCATCAGCCAAGCCTTGGGTGCCACATCCTGGGGTGGGGGAATCCTGCAAGAGGCTCATCCAGTTGCAATACTCCTTCTGGGAAGGGGCACAGCAGCACCCAGCAATGTGAGAGGCCACTGGGAGAACTGGATGGAGAGGAGATGAGGGGTCCCGTCACCCCCCATGACTTCCTGAACACCCTGGCAGTCACAGGGAACCCACCAGGATTCCCCCTCACCCCCAGCTCCTGGCAGGGCTCCACAGGCTGACCCCTGGGAATGCAGTGGCTCCAAAGCCAGATTCTCACCCTCCCACCCTGCCAGCTGGCCCACTGGGGTGTAGGATTTCACTTCCTCCCTCCCACAGGGTGATGGTTGAGGCAGCCAAGGGTACACAGCTGCCACCAGCACACCTGGGACCAGCCAGGTTCACGCCCCGAGGGACGCCTGGATGCCCTGGACACATGTACCCAGCTGGAGGGAAACTGTGGTGAGAGATATGCTGGGTTCTGGGAGTGGAGACAAACATGCCTGCTCCTGCTGTCTCCTCACCAGGGCAAGCAGCTCCTTGAAACCCCCAGCAAGGAACCCTGAGCAGCATTTGGACAGAAGGGACCCAGGGAAAAATGCAGCACAGTAAACTCACAGGAGAACTGGAGGGTGTCACCAACCCTGCCGCCCCCCTCATCAATGCAAACAAACCCCCCAGGATCCCTTCACACCCACAAACATGCACAGGGTGATTTGTGGGGGGAATGCTTTGGCTCAGCAGCAAAAAGCAGCCCCCCAGCCCCATCCCAACCCCCCACCAGTACCTGCTCCCAAGCCGGGCTGTCCCACAGGGTCCCCCCTAGTACATCCCGCATGGCGCCCAGGTCCCTGTGCCGGCTCCGACGGCGGCTCCCTTGGGAGCACAACGCACTTTGCAGGGAAGGGTTGGGCACGTTCCCATCCGAGGGGGCTGGCAGGAGAGGCGCCAGGGGCTGTTTTCCTCCCCCCGAGGGAGCCAGGTTGGTCCTGAGCTCCTGTGGGAATCTGTTCCCTCCCACCCTTCTCTGAGCAGGTTTTTCCCAGTGAACTTGCCTCCAACCCCAGCCTCGTGCCCCCGGATCTGCCCCGGAGCTGCCGGCACCACAGCGGTGAATGCCAAGCACATGGGAAACACCTGCCTCATGTAAGACCCCATCCATCCCATGGCTGTAAGGGAGATCAGCTGCACCCCACCTACCCCAAGCAATGGGGAAACTGAGGCAAGAGCAACCCACGGCAGGTCCTGGTGTTTACACACACCTCCAAAGCCCCCGAATCCCCCCTCCCCATGTGTAGGAGGGGATAAAAGGGGACCCCTGCTTCCCCAGGTGCAGTTTTGGGGGGTGGAGGGCTCAGACAGCGGCAGGACCCTGAGTTCTGGCACCCACCAGCAAGGGACAATGGACAAGGGGCTCCCTCCTGTGACCCAGCTGCCATCCCCTGAGCCGGACAGGATTAGGCACACAACAGCTGAGTGGGGCACAGCGAGGGGCTGCCAGCACCCTACCAGCACTGGGGGAAGGAGGGGATGAGATGAACCAGAGGAGGTAGCGGAGCAGGGACCAAACCCAAAGATCCCCTTCCCAGGACATAGCAGGACCACCCCACGCCACTTGCCAGCCCCCAGCCATGGCTCCCCAGGACGTGGGAACACACTATCTACTTGCAATATGGTGGTGGGGGTGGGAAATCAGGCTTGACCCCAAAATTTCAGGTGTATATAAGGCAGTGAGGGGGTAGGCTGGGCCCCCTGCCAGCTCTGTCTGCCAAGCAGCCCTGAGCCCAGCCCTGGAGCCAGGGGCTACACCCTGCACCCAGCCCAAGCATCAGAGCACCCCTCAGCCCCCCCGCAGAGAGCTGCTCCTGCCAACCTTCCCTTCCAGCAGCATCCGCTGCCTTCTCTGGGCTTGCCCGGGCTCTGCCCGGCCCTTTATGGGGCTCCCCCTAGTTCCCCCTTTTACCAGGCCCACCGCCCCCACGGGGCGTGGGAACGCAGCGCCTGGGGCTGGGCGCTTGGGGCGGGCGGGCAGCCAAGGGGCACTCCGGGATGCTGCTGCTGGCTTGTGCTAAGGGGCTGCTGTGGGGTCAGACCCCAACAGGTGCAGCCCCCACTGCCTTGGGGCGGCTGAGGGCTAGGAGTCCACGAGATGCAGACAGGGGAATGGAGGCTGATCCCAGATTTGGGAGACAGTGAGACCACCCTGCACTGGGGAGGAAGACCGTAGCCTCACCCCAAGTACTGCTTCCTACTCTGGGGTGCAGCCAACATTTGCATCCCTTCCAACAGCCCCATCCCGGGAGATGTTCCCCAGTAGAGAGGAGCTGGCTTTAAAAGCCATAGCCAAACAAGCCCCTCTCCAAGGGCACACTACTTCCCTACAATCACTAACCCTCCCCACAAAATCCCCCCTGCCCATGCAGAAAACACTTTGATGGTATCAAGGTGGGATGGGATTATGCCACCCCTGTAGAATCTGGGGTGCTGCTGAGCAGGTTCTCCCATAACCAAGCACCCACAGGGGCTGCCAGCCTTGGGTGCTCTTTGCATGGACGGCTCAGCCCTGCCAGCTCGTTCAGAACCACAGAGGACTCTTGTCCCTGTTCAGGGTGGGGAGCTGGGATCCCACGGCAGAAACACCCCTCCCTCCAGTGCTCTTGCATAGTCCTAAATCCCTATGGAGACCATAGGTGGGCAAATGCTGATGATGGGATTGGCATGGGCTAAAACCACTCCAAAATACACATTTTTCCCTGGAGGAAAACACATTTAATTACTCCAGAACCCTCAAATTGGAGAGTATGGGAAATTTAAGGCTTTTTTGGATGGTGAGAGAAAACTCATTCTGCTTTCCCGCAGGGTGATAGGCTCCTCCATGTGATCTCAGATCACTCATGTGGCACAAAGCCGGTAGGAGCGGCCACAATTGCCCTGCTTGGGAACTGGGAGGAAACGCTGGTATCTGATTGCCTCGGCTCTGCACACAAAGGTTGTGCCATAAACAGGGTGTGTGCGGCAGGAACCCCAGCTGTCAGGGCTGGAAATAATATCTTCAGCACCACGAATGGGATAATGGCAGCGGGAAATGGGGAGAGGTGGGAATGCCTCTTGCAAGCCACCAAGGGGGGAAGAGAGGAGCAAGTCATGTCCTCAATTGTCACACGAGCCTGCAGACCCTGTTCTAGGGACCGTTGCAGGCAGCAGCATGCGGAACATCTCCTTGTGTGGGTGATGAGGGTGGTAATGACAAAGAGGCCATTAGCCCAAAACCTCTTAATCCTAGATGTCACTTAAGGACAAGCACTTCATGTTATCTTTTTATAACACTTCATGTCCCCAGGTGTACCATAAGACCGCCCCAACCTCTCCAGCCACATTTAGGGGACAGCAGCAGGAAGGAGCACCCTGAGCACTGGAGTGGGTGATGATGATGATGACAAAGGGGCCACTAGCCCAAAAACAGCTCTGCACATCCACAGAAATTGTATTGGGAGTATGTGGGGTGTTTTTAAGGGAAAGGTAGCAATGATGGTGTCTTCTTAAACAACAGATCCTGGCAGTGCAGGATGTATCATGTGGTTCGGAGACAAAGAGGCTAGAGAGGAGACAGGTGGTCCCAAAGTCCCTCAGGATGGGACTCTAAACAGCCGCATCCAGCCCCCCAACCATGGCACAAAGGGGGAAGCAAAGAGACTCCCTCTCCCTCTGCAGTGGCAATGTCCCCAGCTGGCACCAAGCATCAGGGATTGGGAAGGGGGAGAGGGGGGGAGGAGAGGAATAAATAAATAAATTAAGCTTTGGGAACACTAAATCAGTGTTAGCAGGGTCTGGGATTCCTCCCAGGACCGAGGAAAACAGAGGCTCACAGTAAGGGCTGGATGTGTGCCCAGGCTGAAGCAGGCAGGAATTAAATGCCAGCTGCTGGCAGGGCCGCCGCCACTGCCGACTCCTCTGGGAGCAGGGACAGGCTGGGTAGAGCTTCCTGTGTGCCCTGACAGTGGGCATGGGGCCAGCACCCGACTTGTGCCTCACTTTCCCTGCTAGGGGCAGCTTTGTAGCTTAGTGTTGGGCTTTATAAACAGAGCCGTGACCCCGCAGCTTGGCGGCAGGGATATGGGACAGCAACCCTCTACACAACTCCCAGCATCAGGGGCTGAGCTATAAAGCCTTGAGGTGATCCATGGTGGATGAGACCCCCTCCCCTAAAAACAGCTATTTCCAGCCCCACTGTAGCACGGGAAGGAACAAAGGTTAGACAGCGCCCCTGTTCCCCGTCACCTCACCTCCCCGGGTGATGGGTCACAGCCCCAAAGTGGGGAGAGCCAGTGGGCAGGGGGGTGCCTGTACCCATTCCTCACTTCCCCACCATAGAAAGGGCTTCTCAAAGGGCCTGGGATTGCTGACCGGGTGTTGAGGCACAACCTGGACTTTTTGCAAGCTGGAGAGAGGAAATGAGGCCGAAAAAGGCCAAAAAGTGGAAGCTGGAGCCGCGGGCACGCAGAGCGAAGGGAAGTTGAGAAACATCTGAGCCATTTCACTGCGACTTCTGATTTCAGACCTCACCCTCCCCCACTCCCAGAAAGACACATTAGAGGGTGCAGATTCCAATATAAGCTGCAAAATATGGGAGGCGGATGTACATGCTGAGGTCACCCACCCTTTGCTCCCCACCCAGCACCATCGCCAACCTCCCGTGCCCCTGAAGCAATACCCGAGGAAGAGACGGGATGCAGGTATCTTACCGGCAGCCGTCCCGCCGAGGCTGAACAGAGGGTCCTGAGCTCGGGGCCTTGGGGGGTGTCACAGAGGTACCTGCCCTGTGAAGCGGGGGCACTGACAGCCGCTGGCGTGTTGACTTGGGTGAAACAGCCAGTGGATAACGGGGGTGTACCCAGGCTGGAAGCCCCCGGATCACAGGAGACCATCACTGACATGACCTTCTTCGGGTGTTGGTGGGGAGGGGGGGGCGGGAGGGCGGTACCCCCCCTCCCCGGGGCGGGGGACACTCCCCTGGGGAGCCGCAGCATTGCAAAGTCCTTTCTGAGAAGCCCGGCCCGGGGAGGGGGGTAAGAAGCACCCCGCGATTCCGTAGCCGGGAGTGGGGTCACAGTCTCAGCCGTGGCATTTTGGGAGAGTGGGGAGGCGTTCCGGCAGGCGGTGCCACCGGCCGGTCCCCAGATTCCCCCCGAAAAACCCGCAGAGAAGAACGCGGCGGCGATACCGCCGAAAACCGTGGAAAATTCGCTTTTGGCCCCAAAAATCTGCCGCACTGGGCCCGTATGGGGCCGGGGCGACCGGAGAGCGGCCCCGTCTGGGCCGGGACCCCCGTGCCCGGCTCCACTCTCGCCCGATCGCGCCCGGCCCCGAGCACTTCTTTTCTTTTTTTTTTTTTTTTTTTTTCCGGTTTTTTTTTTAAGCGCCAAAACCCGTACCGCGAAATTCGGAATTCCCGCGGAAAACGCCGCGCGCTGATTGGCTGGCGCCGCCCTGGCCCCGCCTCTTGGCGCCGCGCGAGGAGGGGCGTCACAGCGGCGGCGGTGGGCGGTGCCACGTATGCAAATGAGGGGCGGGTCCTTCTTGAGCCCACCCGGTGGGGGTCGGGGCGCTGTTTTGGGTTGGAGGGCTTTTGCGCGGGGATCCGGACTGTTTAGTATTGTTACTTGTTTATTATCGTTATTTTTTAGAAGATAACCCCTCCTATCAATCTGGTGGGGCCTAACCTGGGGGCTGTGACCCTCCAACCCCCGTCATCCCGCATTCCTCATCATCCTTTTATCTTCATCAAGCCCCAGTCCTCATCTTATCATCCTCATCACACCCTTCCCGTCATTCCCCCCACCCCTATCCCCAGTTACAGCAACCCAGGGTAGGGGAGAGGGAGCTGCATCTATTTAAAATAAAAATTTTGGCTTCCACCAACCAGAGGCTGTCTGGCACCTCCCCACGCTGCAGACAGGGGACAGTGCTGCTGGGGGAGGGCAGGGATCTCAGAGGGGTCAGCACGAGGAGATTTGGCCCTTGGTTCACTCTTAGTTCATTCAACCTGCCACCCATTGCTCCACATGCATCCCACGCATGTCCTTGGAATGCACCAGGTCTTTCTAACAGAGTGGAGGGAGAAAAAGAGCATAAGGGCACCCAAGCTAGCCTGGGTATTTCAGAGTGCAGCAGTAACAGGAATCATCAAGGCAATGGCAAACCCCTGAGCGAGGGCAACTCTGACCCTTACTGGCACCAGTAAAAGGCCACCACAGCCACTGACACAGGCCAGGGTCACTGAGACAGGCCAGGGTTTAATTTTGCTGAGGACACCAAGCCACAGCAGTTGGTTTCTCTTTGTCCCTTGGCTCCTCTCCATCACGTTGTTCATCTCTATCCCTTGGCTCCTCTCCATTCCCTGATCCCTCTCCATTCCCTGGTTGCCTCTGTCCATTCATTGCTCCCCATTGTTCTCTCCATCACTCTCCTCTTCAGGAAGAGCCAACTCCATGCTCAGGTCTGGGATAAGGATAATCATGTGCAGAGGTGGACTTTCGTGTGAAGAAGCCTCCTGGAATACAGACAGATGGCCTCTGCTGTGGATGAGGAAGGACACCAGACCTCCAGACTCCAACTCAGCTGGGAGAGACACACAGAAGTGTGCCAGGAGCCTTGGATCAAGGGTAGACATTTGCCTCCCACCATGTGAGACTTTGAGGCAGAACAAAAGGCCTGGCAGCAGCGATGCTACCCCCAGCTGGGCAACCCCTGTGCCAGGAGTGTGGCTGAACCTGGCAAATCAATCCACCCAGACCTTCTTCTTCCTCTCTGTGGGAAGAAGGCAACTGCTGTCTCCATCCCAGTGCACAAAGACAATGCCATGCCCGGCAGAGTGGATAAATTTGTGTCAATTGCCTGACTTGGGCTCGCTCCAGTGGGTGACCCTTGGGATAAGGACATTGGAGTATGGGGAGGGCCTGGCAGCTTGCGTCCTGAACTCCTCCAGTTTGGACAAAGCAGAGGTGACATCCCCACATGTTGTTAGTGTGACCTCACTAGGGTAAGGACTGACCCAGAAGGTGGGAAAATTTGTTGGTCCTCATCCCCTCAGCCACTGCATCTCTGCCCAAACCATGAAGGCACCACCAGAAGCTTACGAGTACAGCCCCCACACCATTGCTCACCTCAGGATCTGGAAAATCTTTTGCATATTCAGCTTGGAGATGAGGGACCTCATCAGGATGTAGAGCACAAGGAGGGTATAGTCAACCCCAGAAGCAGGGGGCTGAAGCTGGGCTGTGGACCCCAAATGAGATCCCATCCCCTAATGCTCCTCCCCAAGGAACATTCCCAGGAGAGAGGGGTACAAGGGGCGCTGGTGCCCTGTGGCTCCGCCCAGGATGGGAGGAACAACTGTCCCGGGAGCCTGTGATGGGCCACAGGTAGCCAGCAGCCTCCACAGCCCAATGGCACACATTCCTGTGCCTGGAAAGGGAGCAACAGAGGAGGTCCCAGTCCCTTCTGGAAGGGCACCAGAGAAGGTCCTGGTCCTTCACAAGGGGAACACCAGAGGACATCCCCATTCTTGCCGGGATAGGCATCGGGGGAAATCTTGGTCGTTTCCAAGGGTACACCAGAGGAAATCTGAAATCCCAGCTCTTCCCGAGGGGAGAACCTTTCCGCTGAGCCGGGCTCTTCTTCCTCCGTCCTGGAGACGGCAGCAGCGAGTCGCGGCCGCGGAGCCCGGACCGCTCCGGCTCCACCCACGTCGTCCCTGCAGATTTTGGGGCGTGCGCGGAGCCTCTGTGCCACCGTGGGACAAAGCCCCGATGTTACTGTGGGAGAGGGAAGATAAGGGCTGGCAGGAACGAGCGAGTTGGCTACCACGACGGAGGATGGTCTCCACAGGGGTGGGGAGGGAGCAGGAATAGCTTTCTCTGATCCCACAGCATCTCTGGGAGTTCCAACCAAGGGCGTGCTGAGGCCCTACACAGGTTGGTTTGCAGGATGAGTCCTCCTGTGCATACACGCACACGTGTGTAAGTGCACACAGGCATGTATGCATGCACACACCACATACATATGTGTGCACGTATTTTAAGTGTGCGCAGACTGGTGTCAGTGCCTGTAGGCATATTATAAGTATACATGGGCATGGGTGTAAATGCATGCACGCGTGTGAGTGTGCCCAGACACATATCAGCATCTGAACACACGTGTGTGAGTGCAGATAGCTGTGTGTAACCGAAAACAGTCATGTATGCATATCTGCCCGTGTGAGCGTGCACGTGTCACTGTTTGTAAACACGTGTGTAAGTGCACACAGGTGTGTATGCATGCACACACCACATACATATGTGTGCACGTATTTTAAGTGTGCGCAGACCGGTGTCAGTGCCTGTAGGCATATTGTAAGTATACATGGGCATGGGTGTAAATGCATGCACGCGTGTGCCCAGACACATATCAGCATCTGAACACACGTGTGTGAGTGCAGATAGCTGTGTGTAACTGAAAACAGTCATGTGTGCATATATGCCCGTGTGAGCGTGCACATGTCACTGTTTGTAAACACGTGTGTAAGTGCACACAGGCATGTATGCATGCACACACCACATACATATGTGTGCACGTATTTTAAGTGTGCGCAGACCGGTGTCAGTGCCTGTAGGCATATTGTAAGTATACATGGGCATGGGTGTAAATGCGTGCACGCATGAGTGTGCCCATACACATATCGTGTGAGTGTGCCCAGACACATATCAGCATCTGAACACACGTGTGTGAGTGCAGATAGCTGTGTGTAACCGAAAACAGTCACGTATGCATATCTGCCCGTGTGAGCGTGCACGTGTCACTGTTTGTAAACACGTGTGTACGTGCACACAGGTGTGTGCAAATGCACAGTCGTGCGTGCATACATGCACACACACGTGAATATGCTCATACCACACGTGTGTATGTGAGTACACATGTGCGTGTGCATACCACACGCGTCAGTGAGTGTATGTGAGTACACATGTGCGTGAGCGCGCCTGGCCAAGGTCACGCGTGTGCGCGCAGCGTGTGTGTCAGCGCTGGCGGGGAGCCGGGCGGGGGGGCCGGGGCCAGGCCTTGGCCGGGGCAGCAGCGGGAGGAGGAGGAGGAGGAGGAGGAGGAGGAGAAGGAGGAGGAGGGAAGTGCGGCTCAGACAGCGCGGCGCCAGCAAACACCTGCAAACAGCTCCGGGCACACAATGGCAAATACAGGTGGGAACCGCCGCCTCCGTCAGCGCAGCGATTGCATCAGACTGCGGCGCTTGCCAAGAGGCGAACGAGCCGGATCACGGGCCACCGGCACCGCAGCTCGACCTTCACCACTCCTCCTCCCCGGTATTAGTTTTTTCCCCTCTTCACCCCCTTTTCTGCACCCCTGCAGTGTAGCTGTGGTGGTAAAAGTAACGCCGGACTTACTCCGCCAGGAGCATTTTTCTCGTTCCAGCTGTTCTCCCTGAGGTAAATCTCGGCCCCTGTGGCTATTTTTAGCTGCGTGTTTTTCCCGTTTTCTTTACTTATTTTTTTTAAATCAGGGTTTTCCAGGAAAGCATCGGCATCCCACAACAGCCAAGGTAAATCTGCTGCATGGGGTAAATCTTCGCCCCGAGGTAAATCCCATCTGCCCCACGGGGTAAATCATCTCATCAGCCCCCTGAGGTAAATCCCAGTCCCAGCAGTTTTTTTAGGATTTTTTAGTGGGTTGTGGTGTTTTGGTTTTTTTTTTTTTTGGTTTTTTTTTTTTTTTTTTTTTTTTTTTTGACAGGGGTTTCAAAGAAAGCACTGGCAACTGACGACCCAGTCCAGGGAGCCAGTGAGGTCTGAGCAAGGCTTGTGCCAGAGTCTGGGAATGTCGGGGTAGCTGCTCTGGGCAAGATGCCGGGATCCATCCACCACGGGGGAGGAGGTAACGACCCTGGGAGGCTTCTTGGGAACTAGAACCGAACCTGCAGCCTGCCGAGCCCCGACAACCCCTGGCCTCGGGAATCCCCTGCCCTGATCCCTGAGAGGGGACAGGGGCACGGTCCACCTCCACTCCCTGGGGACTGGAGTCCCCCTCCACCTCCCCAGTGTCGTTTCCATCCAAAAAGCCCCAGCAGGACTGTTTTTTTCCCACCCCATCAGTGCCTAGCCCCACTTCTCCCAGTAACTCCAGTCCCAAAGTAGGCTCATTAGTGCTCCCACGAGTCCAGGATTTCCATCACCATTATTTCTGATGAGGGACCCCTTAGGACCTGGGACGGAGTGCTCACACTGCAAGAAGCTCCACCTTCCAGGTACCGAGACTCATCCCTGTCCCCTGGCTCATGCCCAGGATGCTTTTCCCACCCATCCCACTTAATTCCCTTTGGCACATCAACACTGGCACACAGCTGGAGGACCATGACACCGGGGTGAATGTGGGGACACTCACCCGTAACCCCCCTCTTGCCTTTTCCTTCAGAGCCAAAAGCCAGTGGAGATGGCAAAAGCTTATTTTTAGCTGTGACCATAACAGCAGTTCTGTTCCCAGATGCAGTGGTTTCTGGATGGACACCTTCACCTGCCTCTCACCATGCCCGGACAGCCCGTATCACTGCATCCTACCCCGCCCAGAGGTGCGGAGGATACCCTGCCCCGGGGACATCGAGCTGGGAGGAGGGAGGAAAGTTCCCAGGGGCTGGTGATCCAGTTGTACCAGGTGGTGCTTTTTGGAAGCTCCACGTGCTGCTTTTCTCTGTGGAAATGCCCATGGACAAGACACGTTTGGCAGGTGCCAGCTGCACCCCAAGCTCCTGTTTTCTGTCATTGGGATAGAGGCTGAAGCCAGTGTGTGTGGGTGAAGCTTTGTATGACTGTGCTCCGAGACCCTTGTGTCTTCTTCCTCCTCCTCTTCCCATTATGCAGCCCTTAACCCAGTGCCCCTGGATGCTGCAGCACCCTAGGGACACCCCAATGCCACGGGGCAGAACCCACATCATGCCTGGCTAAGCCCATGGCAGCAAAACCAGAGCCCAGCACAGGGAATAAAGATGATGGTGCTACAGGTGGGGGTGAAGTCAATTTAACTTCATCCTAGGCAGGCCAGCACCTTCCCCAGGGAGCATGATCTGGCTCCACAGCTGAGCCAGCCCGGGGTCACATCTGTTCTGCACCTAGGCCAAAGGGAAACCGCAGCATTACCCAAGGGAAGGGAAAAGCATTTTTGCTCCCAACACCTCTTCCCTGCAGTGTTGACTCCAAGGAGATCAGGCCAAGCAGGGACTGCTCTCTCAATACTACCTGGGGCAGCAAAAGCAGTCCAGAAACTCCTCTACCCCTATGGAGTATATCCTGGCGGAGCAGCATCACCCCTTCCAGCGCAGCAGCTCAAATCCAGCATCAGGGCACCTAGCAGCTCATTTCCACATGGCTAAAAGTGGAAAAAAGTGTATTTTTCCCTTCTTCCCAGGGCTCCAGCTACACCTCTAGATGGTCCCCGGGGCTCAGCATCTCGTCTTCACTCCTTCCATATCAGATGAGCACAGCAGCACACAAAATAGCTGGCAGCCCAGGGTTAATTCCTCCCATACCTGAGCTGACATTTCTATTACACAATTATGGAGATTCCTACAGTAACCCTAGAAGTTCTCATCGAAGTCTGGGAGGCTCCCACTGCCCAGGGGGTTTTCCCACTCAGAGGTGCACCCCAGCTCCCTCCATCCCAGTGATGAAGGATAAAAACCAATCAAAATTATATTGACTTTTATTATGCAAAAATGGTAACTTTTATAAAAAGTTTATAAAGCAAGTACAAGACATGTTCGCAGAAAATCACCTTCCTGCACAAAAGGTACAAAAAGTTATACTCTAGTATAGAGCTCCACAATACACGAGGCCACAGCCCCAGAGTTTAGTTCATAATCGAGGATGTTTGTCCCCCCGCCCCAAAACCCCCTAAATCCCACCCCGCCATCTCATTAAACACCTTTAAAAAAAAGGACTCGCTGCTATAATCCAAAAATATACAGACAACCTGCGCTTCATCATCAGTCTATCATTAAAAGTATCTCATGTGAATTGGGGTCCCAAGGTGGGATGCTGGCAGAGGAAGGCGGGGGGGTCGGAACCAGCCGCTCCCCACTGGCGGTGCCGGGGCCCGGGGGAGGCGATGCGGGGCCCGGGGGAGGCGATGCGGGGCCCGGGGGAGGCGATGCGGGGCCCGGGGGAGGCGATGCGGGCCCGGGGGAGGCGATGCGGGCCCGCAGGTCGCAGACAGCCCGGCGCCACGGAGGAAGCTGCTATTTACCTCCGGCTGATAACGAACCAGGAACCGACGCTCGCTGCTCTGTTTGCTAATTGGCACCGGGAGGTGAGAGAACAGAGGGGGAGGGAGGAGAAAAAAATAATAGTGGTAATTAGTTTGGTGGTAAGTGGAGCTGGGGATGGAAATTTGGGAAGAGTTGGGAGGCAGGAAACTAAGTTATTCGGGGACTGTATCTGGCTCCCGCTTGGAGATGCTGAGGGTGGGTTGGTGCTGGTTGGGACTGCGGTTCAGGTAAGAGATTGGGGGGGATTGCAGAAAGGGGGAGCACCGGTCTGCGTTATTTGGATCGGTATCGATGGTGGGTCGGGGAGGTCGACTGAGGTGCTGGTGGGGAAAAACTGGGGTGCGACGGGAAATTAGGGAGAGGGGAGCATAGGTTGCTGGGGGTCGGTCCCCCGGGGATTTTGATGCTGGAGGGCAGGAGGGGGCCCCGAGATGCCACCTGGGGTGTGGGCATATGGGGAGGACTGGGCCGTGGATGGTGGTGGCGGTGGTAATTGGGGGCGACACTCACCTGGTGGAGGTGGCGTTAGTGACACAAACTTCTCTCGTCTTTGGTGCGGAGTTCTGAGGCGAGTTCAGCCGCCTGCGGAGAGAAAGAACAGGGCTTAAGATCACCCAGGGGGCTGGTGGTCCCCAATCCTCCCCATTCCCCACCGTGACAGGACCCACCAACACACTCGGGGACCCAGCAGCACCCCCGCCCCGACTTGTTATCACCTCCAACCTAACACATCCTCTCTCCCCAAATCGAGAAACCTTGCCCCCAATCCGAAGAGACCCTTACCTTAAGGGAAAGTAGGGTGGCCTCGGAGGAGGGATCGCGGCCCTTGGACCCCTCCTCCAGCACGATCTGGAGGTCGAAGATGTAGTCTATGACGTGCTGCAGGATCTCCACCTGGCTCACCTTGGTGCCTTGAGGGATGCCCGGCACCAGCTCCCGCAATTTGGAATAGCAGTCGTTCATATCGTAGAGCAAGTTCATGGGCTCTTCCAAGGCCGGGCTCTTGTTGTGGCTGCCCCGGGCGATGGCTAAACTCTGCTCCGAGAGGCAGCAAACGGCCTCGTAGCAGCTCCGGACGGAGCGCACCGGGCTGATGGCTTTCATGGTGGGCTCAGAGCAGCTCTGGGGATGCAGGACGGGGGGATGCCTAGGAGCCTCAGGGGCTGTCGCGGCAGCGGGGGTTTGGCTGGGACCTCTGAGCACCAGACCGCCAAAGAGGGCAGCTCTGAGAGCTTTAACTCGCACCCTCTGGACCCCAAACTTCTGTACTTGGCTAGCAGACCGGAGAGGGTTTGGGAACGAGGGGGAAGCACACGCGCCGCCTTTATCTAGGCAGCGCCACTTGACCGCGCCCACTATATGCAAATTGTGAACAACACAACCCCCTTTTATGTAAAATAACCATTAATCTCTTCCCTTTTATGTAAACGAATCCCTAAACCCCGCCTCCGAGTGTCAATGAAGCATCAAACTCCGCCCCTACACGTAAATGAAGTCTTAAACCCCCATACCTCACTCCTCCCCCAGCCCCCCAGATTGACCCTTGATGGCCAGAGTGGCCCGACGGGGGATGACAGGACCACGAAAGTCCTCCTCCCCATTGGCCAGAATCCCCCGAAACATCTTGGGGATTATCCCCCCCATACCCCTTGAAAAACCTTAGCACCCCCAAACTGTCCCACTCCCCTTCCCAGTGAATTCCCCCTATTTTTAGACAGGGTGATGGGGTTTCCCACCCCTCAACCGCCCTGTTTCAAGGAAATTAGTGCCGCCCTTTTCCTCAATCCGCTTCTCATCTGACCTCCAGACTTTCTGGCGTCAGGAATTATCTTGTGACCAGCAGAAAAAAATTAATTGCGGTAAAACTGAGGTTACGATGGAGAAACCAGATTTAGGTCAGCGCCTGTGAGAGGCCTGGAAGGTTTTTTATTTTGGAGGTGGGAGAGGAGATTTATAGGCAAAGGGGTTATCCCAGCAGAAGTGATTGGCTTGGGGTGGGGGAGCAAGATATGAAGGAAACTACCCTTCTGAACCATCGCTGCCTTAAAACTTACAGAATCAGAGACTGTCCATAGAAAAAGCCCAAAGCTGGAATGATCTGGAGTCCCAGGTGAGTGTCACCGCAGCAGGTGGCACATGGAGGAGTCCTGCAGTAGCGGCAGCCCTGCAACACTCAGATAGTGAATCTGGATGAGCCCAAGGGGAAAATCCTCTCTCTGCCCCAAATATTGACCTTGGTGGGATTTAGTTATAGGGGGTGTTGTGGGGGCTTGGTTCTGAAAGTGCAGGAAGGGAGTGTTACAGCCAAGAGCATTGGAGGGAGGCAGTCTGGGACCCTGCTCGGCCCAGGGGTCCCAGCTAATGACGGGGGCAGGAGGTGAGGGTACAGGCACCTGGACCAAATTACTCCTGCCCACGGTAGCGATTTATTCTAGGTCTGCCCAAATCCCAGTTTGGTAATGCTGGGGTTAATTTCCACCCCCCACAAAGGGGTCTGGGGACTGCAGGCTGGAGGGCACCCCTCCTCCCCACATCTCCCCCAAGCCATGAGCTGCTCAACAAAAAACCTTGAAAGCGGCATCCAACGCTCTTTGAGGTTGGATTATTTTTGTACCTTTTATTTTTCTCTCCCCTCCCCCCCCCCCCCCCCCCCGTTATGAATTTCCTGGGAAATCACCTCTGTGTAAAGGATAAGGATAGCAGCTTGAGAAGACACATAATTACCACCCTGTTTTGGGGCAAGAGCGAACAACCAACACCCCCAAACAAAAAAAAAAAAAACAAACCAAAATAAAGTTATAAAATAATTAAAAAGAATTAAACATATTTTAAAAATAGATGATAAATGTAAAACTTAATGCAATTAACACCGATTTTTAAAATGTTTACAAAGCATTTAGAAACTCTTTTCAGACCACCACCTGAATCCTTCTTATGACTTCCCCTCAATACAAAACAGCAGTGTACAGCCTCTGCTTCTTCCCATACACCCCCTCTCATTTCCCAAGGGATGGCGGGGGGCGGGGGGGGCGCTGAAAGGCTTCAGAGGGACTGGGAGGGGAAGCTTTTGTTTGCAGGGGGGTTTTGTTGGCGGCGGTTCCCACAGGCCCTGCCTGGGCGGCGGAGGCGCTGCCTTTGCCCAGCTGTGGCCCGGGCCCTCCAGCTGTGTTGATCTAACTGCCGGCCCCAGACAGCCTGGCGCCAGCGCTGCGCACGTCATGCATTCACTGAGGGATGCGTGGCCAAGGCAACCTCCCCCCCCGCACCGCCACCGCCACCGGCACCCCCTCCCGCACCGCCCGGCACCGGCACCGGTACCGGTACCGGCACCGGCACCGCTACCGGCACCGCCACCCCCTCCCGCACCGCCACCGGCACCGGCACCGGCACTGGTACCGCCACCCCCCCGCACCGCCACTGCCACTGCCACCGGCACCGGCATCGGCACCGGCATCGGCACCGGCACCGCCACCCCCCTGCACCGCCACCGGCACCGCCACCCCCCCGGCACCGGCACCGCCACCGGCACCGCACCGGCACCCACCCCCCGCACCGCCACTGCCACCGCCACCGCCACCGCCACCCCCTCCCGCACCGCCCGGCACCGGCACCGCCACCGGCACCGCCACCCCCCTCCCGCACCCGCCCCGCACTGCCACCGCCACCGGCACCGGCACCGCCACCCCCCACCCCGCACCGGCACCGGCACCGGCACCGCCACCGGCACCGCCACCGGCACCGGCCCCGCACTGCCACCGCACCGGCACCGGCACCGCCACCCACCCCGCACCGGCACCCCCCCGCACTGACACCGGCACCGGCACCGGCACCGCCACGGCCACGCTGCCGCCCTTTGCCAGGGGCACTCGTTCCAATCCCGGGATACCCCGAGTGTGTGAGAGGGCTGGCAGCGCACGAATATTTGTATCTGACCGCCCCAAGTTTGTGTCACAGCCCCACAGCCCCAGCACGGGTCACTTCGCTTTTGACCGGGGGGTCACTTTTAGGCTGCCATTGCAGTGGTAACTCCGGGTTTGGGGTGTCCTCATGCAGCGGCTGTGGGGGGAGCAGATTTCTTGGCATGGAGGAGAGAAAATGGGGGAGGAAGGGAGTGGGAATGCTCTGGAGCATGATGATTTCATGGTGAAAGGGCCCACACTGGCTGTTTTGTTAAAATGAAAAGTAAAAGAAGCAGCAGAAGAAGCAGGAGCTGGGATTATCCACCTCAGCAAGCACCCCAAAATGATACCAAGTCCCCTGAGGGAGGGGTGACCATGTACCTCACTACAGTTCAGCCATTGCTCCCCACCACCTTTCACCTTTTCCTGGGAACAGATCGTTAATCCCAGGGGATTTGCCCATGCTGCAAATACCTGCAGAGCTTCTCGAAACTTGGGGGTGGCCTCACAGGTAGCTGCTTTTCCCCGTCCTAAAATAATCTACCCCTTGGGTTGATTTTTTTTTCCCCTGAAATAAGTCGGTACAGGTGGCAGGATGTGAGGGATGTAATCTGGAGTGGAAATGACCAGATTTGGCCTGGCTGCTGCAGGGCAGGAAGGGTGAGCGTGGGGGTCCCTGTGTCCTGGGGGAATACCACTAGCATTTTGTGAGGAATTTCTTGTATTTTGGAAGCTGGAAGCTGTCTGGAAACGCTGGCTGCGGGGCAGGGATTTGATGGGAGAGGAGAGGAACAGAGATGTGGCAGGGTGCCCAAGGCAGCTACAAAGGGAAGGGCTCTTGCCCAGGGGTCATCTGGATTCACTTTCAGATGGGGCTGAGGTATAAATCCCATTTACCAGAGATCTTCAGAGACCTTCAAGATCCTTCAGGAGCAAGGGAAGCTAAGGGACCTGGCTGGCTTGCTCTGGCTCAGCACAACATGGGAAAAAGAGCTCAGAGATTAATTTACTGATTTTTTGAGACGCTTCAAGCCAACCCCCCCGCGTGGGCACCCACATGGCACAGCACAGCAGTGATCCAAGGGAGTTTTTGTGCTGGAGAAGAAATCTAGATGGAAACTCAAGGGAAAAAAAAAGAGATTCTGGCTTCTTAAAGGGGCTCTGAGATCTCTTTCCCACCTTATCTCGAAGACTATTGGGAGGCAGTCCAGTGGCATTTGGTGATCCTGATGAACACGGTGTGGCAGCTCTCTTGACACTTCAATTCTTGCTGGGGTCAAGTGCTCCTGGATGGACAGTGGGTCCAAGATGGGCAAGGACAGGCATTGTGGCCCTGCTCCGGTCATTGGTCACGCAGAGAATGTGCTGAAAGGTCCCCATGCAGTTTGGCAAACCCTCCCTGGAGTCCCTGTAGCCACAGTGACACCCCTATATTGAGCTATGATGTCCTAGATTTGGGGTGTTTCAGGATCAATGGGGATAATAAATTGGAGCTGGGAGGGATGGAGGGACGGAGGGATGGAGGGACGGAGGGATGGAGGGATGGACGGATGTCAGAGTCCACAGCTCATGCAGAAAGGAGCCTGGCCCTAGCCACCTGTCTGCTCTGTGCCTCAGTTTACCCCCCTCACCCACCACAGGGACCCTCTGCCAGAGCCAGACAATGCCAGAGGCTCCACAATGGGCTATGAGCGATGAGCAGACAAATGGCAGAGAATTAGGGCTGGGGGAAAGGAGTGGCACCTACACCCAAAAAGCAGCAGTGAGGTGCCCCACCCCCGCAAGCCATGTCGCCAGGAGACCTGATCCGTCCCTGGGGAATGTGTGGCTGTTTGTGCAGGGGATTAGCCCCAGGAGCCTCCCCTTAGCCTGGAGGCAGCACCCAGGATAGTCCCTGCTGGTGATCACTGGGGACCAAGTAAACACCATGAGGCATTACCTTGTTCCAGAGTACTCAGGGGAGGGAAAGGAACACTCTCATCCCTCTGGAAGGGAACCGGGAACCGTGACATGAACTGTGGCCAAGTTGCTCAGTCACTGTCCATGCCTCAGTTTCCCCTCTCACCCAAAGCCCAGTCAAGAGCAGAGCCGTGTCCCCATCACCCTCTGAACCAGAGGGAACCACATATTCCCATGAGGAGTCAGAGCTGCTTCTTCGGGGCAAACACTGGACACTTCTGTTCCCTGCAGAGGAGAGGCTGGGACGTCTGGAACATCCCTGGCTAGTACCAGAGTGGGGAGAGACAGTGGGGCTGGGCCCAGGAGGTGCTGGGCAGGCAGCAGTGCCTGTTCCCAGCACCGGGATTCCCCACAGCTGCTTCCTGCTGCCCTATCTCACGGGTGCATCTGGGGAGTCGGGACAGCGCTTCCACCACCACTGCTTCCTGTGCCGACCCCCCTGCCCTGGCCACTGTTCTCACCACCTCCCCCCACGGCTGGACAGACCCCTCTCTTCCCCTCCCCACCCCTGACACGGTAGCAGCCCCTCTGAGTCCCATCTGCACCCTGAGAGGTCTTTTCCCTCCCGGGACCCTTTTGGAGTCCCCCCAGTGTTACCCTAATGAGCATCATAGTCCTGTGTTACCCTAAAGGCTGATCAGCTCATGCCATGCGACCCCCATAACCCAGGCTCTGCTGAGGGGGTCCATGTGGGTGTCCCCAGCAGGGTAGGTGCTGGGGTGCTGCTGTACCACTACTGGAGGTACACTCACAATTGGTGCTCAGCCCACCCCCTTCCTCTGCTCCCTTCTCCCTCCACCTTTTTGATTCCTCCCTTCCCAAATTGCATCCCAGCAAGAGGAGGAGGATGGGGCTGGGGGTGCAAAGGCTGCGAGTGTGAACAACCCAGGCTCACTCAGAGGAGCCTGGGCCCACTGCCACTACCAGGGGGACAGTGAAGCAACTCCCACAATATCCTTGGGAGGCTGGGGTGAGGCAGCAGGGTGGCAGTGGGCACCCAAACCTGGCACCGTCTGCCACAGCCTCGCACCAAACATGAGATGGTCCAAAGAGGGGAAATAGGCATGGAGAAGAGGAGCCCAGCCTGTGTTATGTGGGGGTCCTAGGAGGAGTTCTGCTACTCCCTGCAGACCCTGCTCTCAATCCCTCCCTTTCTCAGCACCCCAAATTTCTCCCTCCAGGTCCTGCTGTGCTGCAGGATGTGGCTTTGCCAGGCTGCCCTTATTACACTCCGAGACTGTTACAACTCATCACACCCCCCACCCTGCATTGCCCAGCCCTAAATCACACCAACCCCAGCAACCCTCCTGCAGAAAACCTGATACACATCCCCAAAACCCTTAAACCTCCCAAATCCTCTCCAAAACCCAACACAAGCCCCTGGCCAAGCCATCCATCCCCACTACCCCCAGAAAGCCACATCACCCAGCATCACACAGAAGAGTCCCTCCATGGGAAAACATGGTGGGGGGAGAGATGTTTTATCTTGGCCTACATCTGCCCCTAATAAGGCAGGTTTATTTTTAGTGGAGGTGAAAGCCGGAGCCACCAGCTCAAGAGCTTTTTCCACTCACATCTGCACTTGTACAATTTGGGTTTCCTGTCGTGGTTTCGGTGCTTTTCAAACCTGCCCAAATTGTTATTTTCTTTGCTCGGCAAAGAGCCCCACAGATCGCTCCCTCTGTATCCTCAGTGTATATATCTTGCCAGCATCCCCTGCCCAACCTCCCCTCTCTAACCTCTCCATTCATCTGGCCCCTGACATGCTGATATCTTGGAATGGGATCCAAACCTCCCCATGGGGCTGGGATGCTGGTGAAAGTTTGGACTGGACCAAATCATTCCTGTCCTGGATTGTGCCTTTCCAGCCCCAGTGTGTAATGACAAGCCACTCTTCCGACCCTGAGTAGGGAAACTGAGGCAGGGATGGTGTCAGTGCTGTAATTTTTGGGATACAGGCCCCCCAGCTTGTTCACCTCCAGGGGCCCTTGGGTTGTGTGGCCGTGCTGGGTTTAAGCAGGAGTGGGAAGCAAAGCACGACGGATGGGTTGGGGGGGGGATGAGGGTTGTGCTCTCCCTCTGCTTGGAGCCCACCCCATGGGGATGAGCCCAACTCATCCCAGGTGCACCAGGGAATTCGGTAGGTCAAGCTTGGCACAGGTGCCGGGGGAAGACACCTGGATGTCCCCCACAACTTCCTCTGACACACAGTTTCCATTCACCCGGAGCAGATGCCACGTGAGGGGCAGTGGCAGGAGGGGTTCTTTCATCTCCTCTCCTCAAGCCACATCCCTGCAGGAAAGGGAGGACATGGGGGTGTCAGTGCTCCTCCAAACACACTGGAGCTGTGGCCACACAATCCAAGGACTCCTGGGAAGTGGCCAGACTGGGGGTCCCCATTCCCAAGCCCCATTGCTGAGACT